AAGCATCATGATGTGGGGCTGCTTTGCTGCCTCTGGGCCTGGACCTCTTGCCATTGTGGAGGGGAAATGAATTCCCATGTTTATCCAGGTGTCATACAGGATGATGTCAGGGTGGCTGTCTGCAGGCTGAAGCTGCATGATTAACATTAAAGTACATTAAAGTAAATCTACTAAATGGCTTTGGAGACACAAAATCTGCCTTTTGGAGTCGCCCAGTCAGTGCCCAAACATCTTAATAGAGATAAGGTAGAATGTCTTCAAGAGAGCCATTCACACCAGATGTTCTAAGAATAACACTGACCTGAAGGTGTTCCATAAGGAAAAATTGTGCAGATTTCAAATCAAATCAAATCAAATTTTATTTGTATAGCGCCAAATCACAACAAAGGTCATCTCAGGACACTTTACAAATTAAGTTCTAGACCTTACTGTTATCAATATTATTACACAAGGAAAACCCAAACATATCCCCCTTGAACAAGCACTTGGCAACAGTGGGGAGGAAAAACTCCCTTTAACGGAAGAAACCTCCGACAGACCCCGGCTCTTGGTGGGCGGCCTTCTGCCTCGACCGGTTGGGGTGAGTGGATAGAGGAGAGACAAAAGAAGAAAAGCAACAAGACACAACAATCAAACACTGATCAGGTCGATGTGGCTGGTGACTGCTCGTCAGAGATGTAGAGCTCCAGGGCAACCTGCAGAAAGGCACAGGGAGTGAGAGAGGGCAAACTATGGGTGTGAGGAGACACACAGTAATGTGTAATGGTGGCATATAGAAGCATAGGGTGAGGTGAGGAGAGGAGAGGAGAGGAGATGAGAGGAGGCGCAGAGCATCACGGGGCCCCCCAGCAGCCCAGGCCTATAGCAGCATAACTAAGGGAAGGCTCAGGGTCACCTGATCCAGCCCTAACTATAAGCTTTATCAAAAAGGAATGTCTTAATTCGAATCTTAAAGGTAGAGCGGGTGTCCGCTTCCTGAACTGAGACTGGGAGTTGGTTCCATAGGAGAGGAGCTTGATAGCTAAAGGCTCTGCCTCCCATTCTGCTTCTGTGGACTCTAGGAACCACAAGTAAACCTGCACTCTGAGAGCAAAGTGCTCTGTTAGGATGATAAGGCTCTACGAGGTCTTTAAGATACAATGGAGCCTTGTCATTAAGGGCTTTGTATGTTAGGAGAAGGATTTTAAATTCTATTCGGAATTTTACAGGGAGCCAGTGGAGAGAAGCTAATATGGGAGAGATATGATCTCTCTTGCTAGTTCCTGTCAGTACTCTGGCTGCAGCATTTTGGATTAACTGGAGGCTTTTTAGAGAATTATTTGTCAGGTTTTCCCGGCTGCACTTTCCTCTCTTACTTTTTCTCACTCTGGTTTTGCTTCCTCACCCTGATTACACAATCTGGCACACCTGCCCCACTTCCCCTGAGTGTCACCAGCTGCACCTTATTAGTTGAACACTGAAAACATGCATATACAAACATTCATTGTAGTATGTGTGATTATCTGTTAACTCACTACACTGACATGTTACATACTTTCCCGTCGTCTATTTATTCCCTAAAAAAATGAGGATCTGACAAACAGCGCCCCCTAGAGGCTTTAAAAGCTTGTAAAAACCTTGGGCCCGGGCCTACACATAGCAGTCTGTCTGTTCCCAGACATGACCTATCTGGCACATGCTGTGTCCCAAATCTGTCTATTCCTCCAAAAAGGTCTAAGTGCGGAGCCAAGGTCCCTACTAGAGTTTAATGTTTCAAGCCACATGTGGCTGACACCAATTTGGAACGCTCTAGCTCCTCCCTAAAATAACGTATCATATGCGGTGTCCAAAATCTGTCCGTTCCTCCAAAAATTAACGTACGTGAGAAACAGCGCCACCTACAGGCTTGAGTTTTTACACACCTATTCGTCCTCAGGGTCTGCACATGCACAGCAAATTTCATTACTCTAGCTTCTCCATAACCAGAGATATGAAATATGCAATTCCTCGAAAATGTCCATAGGGGGCGCTATCCATGAAGACAAATTTGTCTTTGGAAAACAGGTAAGTGAGTCCTCCTGTGTGTATTTGTAACGTCTTTGACTTTTTTTCCCACAGAAGGTTCCTTGGGGAAGGTTTGTCAAGTAATGATACAACTGTTTGATTAGTGTACAACTCTTGCTTTTTCCTGTTTGCCTGCAATCAAATCAACTGAGAGCTGCTTTCTGTTGTCCTTCTGTTTTAAGAATAAGGTTTTGTTACATTACAGCTATGCAGTTACATACACAGGTACATTCAGTTCTATCACAGACAGCGGGACAGGAGCGTGCAGCTTGGATTAACTGCAAGCGGAGGCTGTCGGTTGGTAACGCACACTTCAATCCATCAAATGCTAATATCTGATGATCGGGTCAAGCTACGCACTTGATATTATAAACACAGGTAGGTGCTTTTGGTCCAAATGTGCACAGAAAGTTTCCTCACTCTAGCTCAGAGCAGTACGATGTTATGAACTTAATATTGGTAGTAGCACCGTTACTTTCAGAAATAGCGCTCCATACACGGACAAAATGTGTTGCCTGGTACGGCAAAAGTAGCGGTCCAAATCAGTCACAACTTCATAGCTAAGGTTCAGGGAGGACTACAAACACTACACCTGCCCAGATTTTGAATTAGACACAAGCGTTTTAAAGATTTTAATCAATATGAGGAGTCGCGTTCGTTTGAAAGGCGGAGACCAGCGCTCTATAGCTCTGACAGGGCAGATGCTACTTATCATAGGCTGTCCCACGATCGGCGCCACCTACACACATGAAATTGGAGATGCTGGCAGGTCCTTTTGGTCCAGACATACACAGAAGGTTTCATCCCTCTACCTCCAACCAGTAAGATGTTATGAACTTATCAATAATGGTAGCAGCAATAGCAGTTGGCTGCTAGCTGCTACTGCTGCTGCTGGTAGGTCCTTTTGGTGCAGACATACACAGAAGGTTGCATCCTTCTACCTCCGACAAGTCAAATGTTATGAGCTTATCCTATATGTTTAGCTTGTTGCTAAGCGGAGAGAAATGCAATGTGTCATTGCGCCAGAGTGTCCACAAGACGGCGGTACACCATGGACTGTGAAATGTGTCATTGCAGCCTAGTGTCCACCAGATGGAGGCATACCATGGAATCGATAGTAGACAGCAGGTGGCGGTAATGCACCTTAGGTGGGCTTGTAAAGCGCCAGTGTACTTTACACGAAGAAGAACAACAACCAATAGGAACAGAGGACTTCAGACTACAGAACGGAGTGACGTCGCTGCAGTGGGTGTGCTCACAAGGGACCAATGGGAAAAGAGGAGCGCCATTTCTGAACGGAATGACGTAGGGAGGGAGTGACTGACTGGCGCTCATGGGAAATGGATTTTCATTCAAACAGGTAGAGGATGTCTTTCACAGTCACTGAGCATCTACAGTTGAATGCTTTTTCATCAAAACACACTATGCTCTGAAGAAGCCTGACTGCTGAACAAGGATGACATAAGAAGAGGCTCCGTAGCGAGGTAAGCTTATTTTAATTTATTTTGAACGAGGCAGCGAGCGGATCACTTAGCCTAGCCGCTAGCGTTAGCGGCTAGCGGAGTGAAAACGAAGCTCAGTGTTTTAAATCCAGCTCATGATAAATCATGTCAACCGCTCAGTTCCACCGGCACCGTGTTTAAGCTCAGCTCAGTGGACAGTGAATAGTTTGTGAACGCTTTTAATCCATTTTGTACACGTAATTTAGCTCGTTCCTTAGCGCAGAAATTCAATGTGTAATTGCCACCAATAGGAGAAGGGAGGAAGTGACATGGCTGCAGCGAGTGTTTTCGCAAGGGACCAATGCGAGGTCTGCGTTTTTCAAATTCAGTGACGTGGTATCCGGTAACGCTCACAGCAGATGGCCGGCGGTTCATTCAAACAGAGACAGCGCTGCAGACCGTGCACAGCGTCAAGCCTTTTTGAAGCTGAAAACATTGGACTTTTCGGAACCAGCCTTGCTGAAGAACGATTATAGCAGCACAGAAACGCAAGGCGAGGTAAGCTTTAATTTGTTTTAGGCGAGGCTCACTTCATAACAACATTGAAATAGGATGCTAGCGGGATAGACACAGCTCTTTATTTAAAATGAAAGCAATAATAATAATAATAATTCAGGACAACTGTTTAGTTCGTGTTACACGGTGTTTGAGCTCAGCTGAGTGGCCACTGAAAACCTTTTGCACGCTTTGAATGCGTTTTAGGAGCCAGTTGTGGCTCCGTAGGCTTGCTAGAATAGCTCTAGAGGCTACTTCCGGTTTGAGCAGCCGACTGCTGGCGGGGTTAAAACGAAGCTATTTATTGAAAATAAAACCAGCAATAATTTAATGACAACTGCTTAGTTCGTCTTAGACCGTGCCTGTGCTCAGCTGAGCGACCTGTGAATCATTTTTGAACGCTCTGAATCCATTTACAATGCAACAGTGGTCCTGCTAACAGCTAGCCACAGCAGCTCTCTGATGTGTTTTGAGCAGCCTTCATCATGCCAGCTGTATAGGAATTTGTGGAGGAGTACAGAGCTTGTGTTGGGTTAGGTTATTTGATTGTTACTAAAAGCCTGCACTTGTGTTGTTTCAGATAAGCAGGATGACAAGTGCAGACACCGGCCAGAAGCTACTGTGTGACCGAAGAAACAGAGGTGATGTCCTACAGCTGTGGAATTGGCAAGGCGGTGACCGACTGCTCACGGTGAGTACTGCTTAGTTCTAACACAACAAGTGGCTGCAGAGGTGTGGGTTAGGGTTAGCTAACAGCACCATGGCACTCTTTGGCCTTTTGCTAGTCTCATAATGTGCTTTACTGTACTGTTCGGCTTGTAGTGAGCACTGCTGCTAAAATGGATTACCTACTCTGTGTGTGTGTGTGTTTCTCATCAACTGTTTAAATTCCTGAAGCAGCAGTCTTGCTAACATCTGATTTCACTTAATGTATCGACACTGCTGTAGCATAGTGTGTGTTTCAATAACACTACCGTAGCCGCAGAGAAGAAGAAACTAATTTTTGGAGCTAAAACAAAGTAGCTATTAGCATCATTGTCAATTCAATAATGCAAAAAAAAAAGGAAATTCTCTTCATTTTTCCTCTGACATCTTTGGCTGTGTGTTTGTGTCTTACATGAGATTACTATTTGTAATAAAGTCATTGTGCCCATCTTGTTGCAGATACTCTGCTAAGCTGGCTGACAAGTGTGCACGGTGGGCAAGACAGACATGCGACTGAGTCAGCGCAGGCGTGAAGACGCGCGGACGATCGGCACGGACGCCACATGCGCAGCTGGAAGAACTGCCGACGGTGAGTACTGCTAATTCCTAACATGGCAAACCCCACAACTGAGAAGTGCTTAGGTTACAGCGCTTCCACTATTTGCTCTGCACATTCCCACTGTGCACGCATGCATGACCAACACCTGTGCATGTGTGTGTCTGTGTTGCAGGTCAGAGCTGATGCCACCAAGAGCACATTATGCATAAATTCCTTCTGTAATACTTTTGAAATATGTCTGTAACCTTTTAAATCTACTACTTTTTAAGAATTAAAACACTTCAAAGTTGTAATACTTTGAGCATGTATTTATTCAGCACTTAGACATGGAGAGGCCTGCAAGCTCAGGTCCTCTACCAGAGGCTTGAGGGTCCTGCACAGTATCTTAGCTGTTCCTAGCACTGCACTTTTATGGACAAAGATCTCAGATGTTGTTCCTGGGATCTGTTGGAGCCACTCTCCCAGTTTGGGGGTCACAGCCCCCAATGTTCCCATTACCACGGGGACCACCTGTGCCTTCACCTTCCACATCTTTTTAGCTCTTCTTTCAGCCCTTGGTATTTCTCAAGCTTCTCGTGTTCCTTCTTCTGGATGTTGCTATCGCTTGAGATTGCTACATCTATCGCTGTTATATTATCATTTGCTATATTACACAGCCTTATGTTGGTTTACTGTTTACTTGCCCCTTGCATGGTACATACACATTGAGAGCCGATGTACCATAGTCAAATTCCTCATGTGTCTGACACACCTGGCCAATAAAGCAGATTCTGATCATTGTGGAATATTGATGAGGAAAACATTTAATTGAATCCATTTAAGATGAGTCTGAAACAACAAAATGTGTAAAATTTAAAAGGGTCTGAAAACTTTCCATACTGACTGTATATCACTGGCACTCGATGTTAAAAAATGTCCTCCTGGGATTTGCATGTCTGTGTGTCTGCATTTTTACATGTGAGATCTCATAGTTGTGTGTTTGCTTTTATGTTAAACTTATGTTTTATATGTTAAAATATACACTCTGTGGGTAATTTGAAATGTATTTAATAATTACATTTAAATAAATAAATGGATTTAGTAAAGATAGATATCTGATCTATTAGTGTTTGACATGTTCTTTAAATGATCAGTGCTTCAGTGTTTTGCAGACATTAGTGTGTTTAAGTACCTGAAAGTGAATGATCTTGGCATATGTTTCAGAGATGGACTCTGCGTAGAAGGGTGTGGTCCCCAGCAGCATTTCATAAGCACAGATACCCAGAGCCCACCAGTCACATTCAGGACCATAACTTCCACCTTCTTCTACTGCCCTTAAAATCTCTGGAGACAAATAGTCAGGTGTTCCAACTGCTAGGGACGAGTAAGCCTGCAATGAAACCAATAGGCTAATGGGTTTTCAAAAACATCAACATGTACAGTGTCTACAGGTATTGGTTTTCTTTCCCTGCATTTGTTCTGTTGTGTGAAACTATCACTGAAATGGGAAAATGCTAAAATCATGAATTGCCAGATGTCTGGTAGTTTTCTTCTCAAAGCCTAATCTTTTTCAAGAAATTTAAAAGTGTCTACTCTCACCAACCCATCCTCTAGGAGCCTCAGACACGAACCAAAGTCACCTAGTTTGATGTGTCCATCAGATGTCAGCAGGATATTGTCAGGTTTGATGTCTCTGCGTAAGAAACAGGGTAGAGGGGGCATACCGTATGTCATTGCTAAAGTTCACTTTTCATAAAGGACCTAGATACTTATTATGCAGCTTGTCATAGCTGCAACTGTCCACCAAGTTCAAAGTGTTTATTTGTCATATGCGTCAATGTGGAAACGTGTTTCCCTGTACAATGAAATTCTTACTTTGCCATCCACATGAATGCCACAAAATATAAATGAAATATAAAGTAGATAAATAAGTAACACAAAATCTAAGGCACTTTAAGCAGCAAATGCAGCAATTTAATAAAAATATATAAGAATAAAACAGAGAATGTATGCTGCACGGGAGCCACATGTGCAGCAGTCAACAGTCAATGTGCAATTATGCATGTGCAAACTGAGAATGTAAACAGTACATCACGTATTTCCTGGTAATAAACTCCTCAGCTGTTTAAGAGTCTGATGACAGAGGGAAAGAAAGAGTTTTTCAGTCTAGTGGTGTTATGTATTGACATTTCTGAGTAGTTAGATTTATTGTGAAAAGGGTATGATGTTATTTCCTGTTGAGGAAGGAACACTTTCGAGTGACGCTGTACACTACGGTTTTGTTTTTCTGTTCTGAAGAGTAACACATGAGCACACAAGTTGCACCCGTCTCTGTGTCTTCTTTATTAGTTAGTACTACCCACCAAGAAAAAAGGGGTGAGTACATAACAAAAACTGGTGACGAGCATAATGTGCCCATACATCATGTTTGTTTTGGGAGACGTGTCGGCCTGACAAGTTTTTTTTTTTTTTGTGGTATGCTGTGCATCAGAGGTATTAGTATTACTACTTCGTTACAGCACTTAAGTATTTTTTGGGAGTATCTGTACTTTACTTGAGTTTTTAAAATTTTGTGAACTTTTACTTCACTACATTTTTGGGAGTATCTGTACTTTACTTGAGTTTTTAAAATTTTGTGAACTTTTACTTTTACTTCACTGCATTTCCTAAATAAAATGTGTACTTTTACTCCGATACATTTCCACCTCTGCCTTTCCGTTACTTACTACAAAATTAAAAGGGAAAAAAAGTCACGGTAAAGTAGGTTTCTAACCAGTGATGTCAGGTTACAGTACAAGCACAGGCCTGTCTGGTGTAAACAGGTGCAAGAAAGTGGCTCCTCGCCAAAGCTCTGTCATGAAAGCTGCCCTCTCATCGAGCACCACAGGTGCTGGCCCACCTACACCTACGTCTCCAGCAGACTCAGATGACCACCCGTGGCCATATCTGCAAGAGATGTTTTCATTTCTTGGCGTGAAGGATTCCTCATACCGAATGAAGTGCCTCCTATGCCTGGCGAAGGACACTGAAATACTGGCTTTCAAAAAGTTAATTAAAGTCATATGTGATTAATATATTAAACACTTATTAGCAAATGTTATGTCATTACAGTGGGCTGTCTAATTGTTTTTGCTAACATTAACATTAGCTGTAAACGAAGCTGAGACGTCTGGCTAACGTGGTTATTAGCTAACGTTAATTAGTCACTGGTCACTTAGCTAACGTTACG